GTGAAAATGTATATTTATCACTGCATGTGAAATTTTTAATGCTTCCGCCACAAACCTATGCACGCCAATGTGGCACAGAGCACACAATACAATCTGATAAAAATATTAAAATAATGTCTTTGCTTTCAGGAACCACCGCAGATTGAGTCTTTTAAGGCAAAAAAAGTATTGTTTAATCATGTTTCATGAAATATGCAACCAGGATAGTCCCATCCCCCACCCCCCGTCACACACTAGAAACATTTCCAGCCCCTCTAAACAATTCATTATTATTCCTAAAATCTGCAAATAATTTTCTGGAGGGCTCTGGAGCTCTTATTTTAACTTTTAACCAATGGCTTCTGTGGCTCGGTGCAGTGCTTAAGTGCTCCTACAAACTATTCTCTCATCAAAGTGTAACAATGGACCAAGTCTGGGGTGTATTTTTTCATATTAAAAACAATACACAGTGAAAAACAAATTTTATTGGACAGTGATACAATTTTTGTTATTTTGGTTCTGTTGGCGAAGTTAATCACCAGATCTGGTTCCAACAGAACTTGCATTTTACATGACGAAGAGGAGACTGAAGGCAAAAAGTCTCAGAAATTGGAAGTACAGGCCTGGCATCATTAGGGCAGATACTGACTGTCTGGTGGTCTGGTGAAGTATATGCATTCAAACATTCACTGCAAGCAAAGGATATGAGCCAAATATCAAAAATTTTGACTTTATTGTACAACCCCAATTCCGAAATAGTTGGGACAAAGTGTAAATTGTGAATAAAATCAAAACGCAATGACTTTCAAATCACATCAGCCAGTATTTTATTCAAAATAGAATAGAGATAACAGCAAATGTTGAAACTGAGAAATTTTACAATTTTATCCACAAAATGAGCTCATTTCAAATTTGATGGCTGCTACAGGCCTCAAAAAAGTTGTGACATGTGCCTATTTACCGTGATGTAGCATCCCCTCTTCTTTTTAACATAGAGTGGAGGCATCTGGGCATTGAGGAGACAAGTTTCTTGAGTTTAGCCATTTGAATTTGATCCCACTCTTGTTTAATAGAGGCTTCCAGCTGCTAGAGAGTTTTGGGTCTCCTTTGACAAACTTTTCGTTGAATTATGCGCCAAATGTTCTCAATCGGTGAAAGATCAGGACTGCAGGCAGGCCAGTTCAGCACACGGACTCCTCTACTATGAAGCCATGCTGTTGTAATAGCTGCAGTATATGGTTTTGCATTGTCCTGCTGAAATACACAAGGCCTTCCCTGGAATAAATGTGGTCTGGAGGGGAGCATATGTAGCTCTAAAACCTTTATATACCTTTCAGCATTCACGGTGCTTTTTAAAACATGCAAGTGTCCCACACCATATGCACTAATGCATCCCCATACCATCAGAGATGCTGGCTTTTGAACTGAACGCTGATAAGAGGAGGGGTGGTCTTTCTCCTCTTCAGCCCGGAGGACACGACGCCCATGATTTCCGACAAGAATGTCAAATTTGGACTCGTCTGACCACAGGACACTTTGCCACTTTGCTACAGTCCATTTTAAATGAGCCTTGGCCCACAGAACACGGCAGCGCTTCTTGATCATGCTCAACAATGGCTTCCTTTTTGGATGATAGAGTATTAGGTGGCATCTGTGGATGGCACGGCGGACTGTGTTTACAGACAGTGGTTTCTTGAAGTATTCATGGGCCCATTTATTAATGTCAATGACAGAATCATGCCGGTGAGTGATGCAGTGGCGTCTGAGGGCCTGAAGATCACGGGCATCCAGAAAAGGTCTTCGGTCTTGTCCCTTACGCACAGAGATTTTTCCAATTTCTCTGAATCTTTTGATGATGTTATGCACTGTCGATGATGAGACGTTCAAAGCCTTTGCAATTTGACATTGAAGAACATTGTTTTTAAAGTATTGCACAATTTTTTTACGCAAGCCTTCACAGGTTGGGGAGCCTCTGGCCATCTTTACTTCTGAGAGAGTCAGCCTCTCTAAGACATCCCTTTCATAGCCAATCATGTTACACACCTGATGCCAGTTAACTTAATTACTTGCTAAATGTTCTTTCAGCTGATTCTCTTATATATTAATTGCTTTTTCAGCCCTTTTTTGCCTGTGTCCCAACTTTTCTGAGAACTTGAAATAAATTTGAAATAAGCTCATTTTGTGGATAAAAATCTAAAATGTCTCAGTTTCAAGATTTGAGATGTTATCTATGTTCTATTGTAAATAACATATTGGCTCATGTGATCTGAAAGTCATTGCATTATGATTTTATTCACAATTTACACTTCGTCCCAACTATTTTGAAATTGGGGTCGTACATTATGCAATTATTGTCCATTTTTTTGAAGCACCTGAAAATGAAAGGGACTACATAAGTTGCTGGCATTTCAGTCGGTGTGCATGAAATATCAAATTAAAGTTCTGACATCCTGAACTTCAACCTCATCGTAATTGTATCCTTTCAAACTAATAGCTTGATATAGCATGGATTTGTGATTTGCAGTGTAAAAACAAACTGTGTGATCACAAACAAATAAATTGTGACCACCAGTGACCACAGGATATTACCTAAACTTATGTTCTAAATGATATGTCAATAGATCTCATTTGACTTTCAGTATTTGTATTTTCAATCTTCAAAGTACAATGGTGGCACTGTATGTTATAAGAATGCATGGACACATGCAATGTTATATGTGCATTAGTAACTCTTTTTACACGAAGTTAATAATCAGGATACCAGCGAGTGAATTGTCATATTCCGACCATGGACGGTACACAAAGATGGACAAAGCATCTCCATTGTCGAACACTATACAAAAATAGTGCCAAAATATCCTGGATACCGATGCTGCCATCTTGTGCCAGTGACATCATTTGGAGCCAGAGTCTGTGCAGTAATGATCGGGGGTTGAACTGCAGTATCAAGGTCCACTTGCCTGACTCAGTCGCAAACAAATCCCCTCAACGTTTTATGTAGCATTGCTGGCAGCTCCAAAGTTAGCAGTCAACACCACTTATTGCATGCAGACTAGAGAATAATTCTGCTACCACTGTTGGCTTGTTAATGGGTTAGCTGTTCGGATTTTTTTTCTAGAAGAATTGTATGGGGAAAAAATACATTGCTGCTTTCCTCATCCTTAGCAGCATATTGCTTAGCTTTTGTTCCAATGTCCGGCACTCCGGCCTGCATCTAAAGGCTCGAGCCAACTTCCGTCCACTAGCTAGGTAGCTAATACACTGACTACGGATAAGCATCTCATATAACCCACTTCAACAAATCCAAACCAACCCTTTAAAATAAGGTTAAGTTAAACGCAGTCCATGGGTGAATAACATTAGACCCCCCACTGCCATGTGTTTCAACGTTAGTTCTCTCCAACTAGTGAGCTAAAATAAGGCGACCGGTTAAAAATCTCACTTCACTAGCTAAGTAGCTTAGCGAACTGATTTTACCAAGCAAGATTTGGTAAGTCACTTAGACTTAGTTAGCAACAAAAATCCATGTTAAAAAGCGCTTTGAACATAGCATCACTGCTAACTGTACATTAAACTATGTTCAGAGCAAAGAGCTTATTACCATCGATTTTTGTTGCTACCTAAGATGACCTTTTAAAGGATCTTGCTTTACCAGCTGGATAGCTTGCCAACTGACTTTAGCTGGTAAGCTTCCAAGATTCAGTGATAGGTCACCTCAGTTAGCAAAGAAAATTGATAGTAAAAAGCTCTTAGCTCTTAACATAGCATTACTACTAACAGTGCGTTATGGTATATTCAGAGCAAAGAGCTGTTTACCATAAATTCGCATTGCTAACTAAAGTGCCTCAGTGACAAATCTTGTTTTACTTGCTAGTTAGCTCTAGCTAGCTAGCTAGCTACCTGATTTTACAAAGCAAGATTCGGTAATGGGTCACTTCAGTCAGCAACAAATATAGATGGTAAAAAGCTCTTTGCTCTGTACATAGCATCACTGCTAACAGTGCATTACACTATGCTCAGAGCTTTATATCTTCCATTTATATTAATGTGACCCATCATAGAATCTTGCTCGACTAGGTAGCTTTCTTGCCAGCCAACTAGTCTTCTATACATCAGCATGGTAAAAACTACCTAAAATGACAGAGACAATTTTCATGAAAAAATTTATTTGACACATTCTTTCATTTTTTAGTGTGCCCCATGTCCCATCCTCTCACTTGGAGGGAGCGGGGTTAACCAGGGGGAGATCAAGATGTTTTGACTTCACTTTTGGAGAGCTGTCAGTCATCCATCTTTATACACAATCAATTCCTGACTAATATACCCAATGAGTGATGGAATAATTGCTAGAATTACCAAAGAAACTCAACCCGTACAGATGCAAACCCCAACAATCAGCTATTTAATTGCTGGTTGATTAAAAAATAAACTGAAATAATGCTTGTCAATGCTTCCTGTTATATGGAGCCATTTATAAAGACAGGTAAATTTGGGAAGTGAGCCAGGACAAGGATCCTTCTGTGGGATGGTGGAGGCTAATAGTCAAAATCGGGCTTGACTAAGGCAGGCTCGCCAGATGCTCAGTATCTTGACTGAATGACAGTATAGCAAACTCATTTGGTGCAAATTTGAATCAGCAAACTGGCTAATTTGCCTACGATATGTGATGTATTTCATCCATTAAAAAAAAAAAAAAATCAATCAATAAATAAATATTGCACTGTGCAACGGTTGATGAGGAAACCCACTGACATCGCGGAAATCCACTTGAGGGAGAGTCTGGCACACCTTGGCCCTACTCCGGAGTTAGTCCATCTTGGGAAAAGTCCATCTTGTAAAATGATTCACATTTTAAAATGGACTGCATTTTTATATAGCATCTTTCTAGTCAGATGACTGAAAGCGTTTTACAATCATGCCTCTCATTCACCCTGATGGCGGTGGCTCCCGTGCAAGGCACCAACCTGCACATCAGGAGCAGTGTGGGGTTCAGTGTCTTGCTCAAGGACACTTCGACACGTTCTCTGGAGGAGCCGGGGATCGAACCAGGAACCTTCTGATTCCTAGCCTAGCCGCTCTACCTCCTGAGCCATGCCGAGAACAGGAACAATTGGCGCTGATCCCCAATGCAATCCAGAACCCAGCACATCTGTTCAATGAAGACTGTGGAGGGTGTGTAACAGGCTGGTTATCTATCCAAATTCTTCAAAGTCATTGTCTTTGCTTCTTTTGTCTTTCTTTTCTTCCTTAGTTTGGGAGTGCAAGCTGGTGTAGGTGTAGGTAGAACTGCAAATTCAGGCTGCTCTTTCTCTGCAATGTCTGCCATTCTCATATTCCAAGCTCACCAGCTTTACCAGCGTTGTCTAAGTAGCCTCCAGGCATGCGTAATGGGTACACAGGCAGGGTGCCTGGGTGCACGCAGGAAGATTGGTTAAATAGAGAGGCAGGTAGACCATTCAATCATTTCATTCGGGCAGAATATAATGATTGTACGAGCTTATTGAAGCTCTGCGACAGCTACAGGTACCAGATTTTCTTCATTTTTTTAAATTATTTAATTCATTGACCGCTATCAGGCTCTTAAGAGAATTTAAATATAACAATAAATGCTTCTGAAAAACTGTAGCTACCCTGCCTTCAACATGATGTCAAAAGAGCTGTGGAGTGCACCATCATTATGTGTAAAAAACAAGACTATGAAAGAAATAGCAGAAACATCATGCGTGGCCAAGTCAATTACTTGCTATATTCTTAAATCGAGAAAGTGTAATGGTCAGCTCAGGAACAACAAAAGGCCTGTGAGACTGTGGAGACGGGAGGGAACATGATCCAACTCATACACCACCTCATTTGTGAAACATGGTTTTTTGTCAGCATGTATGACTGCCAATGTATTTACTGATGATGTGACTTCTGAAAAAAAAGCACCAGGGTGAAATCAGATTTATATTGGGCCAAATTGCTCAGCTTCAGCCAAATGCTAAAATGAAATTTCAGCATTTGAAAATGATTGGACAGAGCTTAACAGCATTCTTGTTGTACAAGGATATTTGTTGAATTTTCCATTAGTTGAAGTCACTATTTTACAAGTGGTATAGTCTATGATCACACAAAAAAAAATTTGTGAGGCTAGTAAGAAAAACTGTCATGATAAAATCCTTAGCACAAAATAAGGTTCCTGATTGAAAACCACATCTTCAGCCATTTTCAACTGTCAAGAGGAGACAGACAATGACTGCAGCACAGCCAGTCACTAATACCACTGAATCAATCAAGACTTGTCCCTCTGCAGCAATACAACATGATTGGGTTTAAATTATACATAATTTATGCATAATTTATGTGCAAAGTTATTCCACTCACTTTGCTTCCACTGATGAGAACTGTCTAAACCTTCTAAAACTGCAGTGAGGCTTGATTATTGATTATTATTATTGGTTTTATTGTTTATTGTTTTGTTATTTTATTGTATGATAATTTTTACTATTTTATTGTTCTTATGCTTCCATTTTATTTCTGTCCCAATTATTTAAATTGTGTATGATTTTACTCACACAGTCTTCTGTGTGATTTGTTCTTAAGCTGTCCTGTCTTTTCCCTTGTAATTGTGTTGATTTTATTCCTGCATGTAATGCACTTTGAGCTGCATTTTTTGCATGAAAGGTGCTATATAAATAAAGATTATTATTATTACTTTATTATTATTAATTTTTATCACTCTCAGTGACACTACACTTTCTGTCTCTTTAAAAGCTGAGGCAGGATGCTGGATAGTTCTCTCGATCAAGCAGCATATTTTACCTCATACCCCTTCTCAAGTCAAAAGGTTGAGACCTCTCTGTGTTGTGTCTCACTTAGTTGATTAATTGTGTCCAACAAGCTTAAAGCTGACATGACTCAGGAACAGATGTTTAGATTTCAAAGGCAAGTCACATTCTAATCACTTGGACACAGCTTTATTTTTTATGATAATGATAACCAAGGCATTCATATGCCCAGAACACTTTCTTACTTTCCCTGTTCTAAATGCAAACTCCTCCTGCTGGTTTCTGTCAGCACAGCTCCCCTGAGTAATCAGTCAGGGACTCTGACAGGGAACATGTATCGCAGTCCTCGCGTTTCACAGCTACAGGCCTCAGCTCAACCCTTAAACAAATGGACTTCAGGAAAGCTACTCTTAATTGATTCCAAGCCTCTAAGCTCTTCAGTAAACATAGTGAAGCAATGAAAATGACTTATGACTGTGATTCAATGGACCTCCAGTGCCTCGATTTATGAAGAGCTGAAATTGACCAGAAAGCAGATGCAAGTTTCACTGAAAGACACTGGCAGGAGTGTGCATATCCCAGTGATCTTATTCTGCAGGCAGACCAGTGCTTTTGAGGTGAAGCCTTGATTTATAAACCCACACGGACTAAGAAATATATCCACACTTGTTTAGAAGTCATGTGTGACGGTGCATGCAAGAGAGTATTGACACCTTGCTCATCCTCTCTAGATTCCAACTTCCTCCTTCTTGTTATCAGTAACTTCCTGTTCTTCTCTCACTCATGGTCACTGAAGAGGCCATCCGCACTTCCTTTGAGTGACGTGCACTCCAAAGATTTTTATGATCCCAGTATAAATAATGGAATGGATTTGTGATGCCATGGCAATATTTCAAAATAATAAGACTCAGAAGCTTTCAATCACAAAATGAAGTTGCAGCGAAGATGGAGAAGACAATGATAGTATATCACAAAAGGACAGCAAATCTCTCTCAATAAAGCCCTGCACAGAGACACAAACAACACCATAACTGAAAACACACACTGTATGCACAAACATACAGTACTGTGAAAAAATCTTAAGCCTGGGCCACACTGTCTGCCTAAGCAGTGTGTTGCAGAACCTCTTGCTTTCCTTTTTGGCACCCATTTTAACAGGTTAGCGCAGCCGCACAGTCACATGCGAGCTGTGCGGTTCACGTGGGGCTATAGCGGCGCCTCATCTAGAAATTTGGCTTCTCGCCTATTTTTGTCTGGAATGTGCACAGTTCTCAGAAAAAAAGACAATAAAAACAATCTGTCATAGTCATATTGACATCATACCAGCAACATAAACACCTCTCACTACAACTTTAACATCTATATCTAGAGAATATGTAAGAGACATGAAAAAAATGTACTCTACACTTACTGTATCCTTTTCAAAGTCAAAGCCCCATACAGTGATTTTGTGGACAGAATCTCTTCATTTGTTAACCAGGCTTTTATCGTGAAACGTGTGAAGGACCGTGGTTTGGAAAATTCTGACTTGCACAGCTCCAGAGTGGACTCCCTCCTTTATGTTTTTTAAATGAAATTATGAAATCATATTACTTAAGGTCATTATAAAAGGAAAACTCAATGCAGAAATATGGAGCTGGCTGTAGCGGTGTTGCAGCAGCGCCACAGCAGGAACACTGTCTGTGGACAGCACATGCCTGTGAGCTGCCGTATTCCAGCAAGGTACCATAGCTGTCAGACACAGGAAAACACAGGCTGTGTGGCCCAGTCATTAGGTACCCAAGATTAAATAAAATAAGAATTTGGTCTTAGATATTTATTCTTATTTTATGCATTAGTGTTTCTATAGAGAGGAGTAAATTTGTGACTTTCACTTTATTTGAAACTTCAGCTTTAATTTAAAACAAGGCCTATGCTGTCGCCCCCGACAGCAAAGGGTATATTGGTGAAACCCACTAGTGAGAGCTCCCCAGAAAGAAAGTCTAGCTACAGTATTTGCCCAGACAGCCTTATGAAATTGTTAGAAACTGACCCCATTTCATCTTATATGCGCTCAGACTGCCTATAGCCAATTTACCCATTAACAATGAAAAATACATGCAACAATTTTTTTTTATGAGGTCAGTAATAAATTCAACAACTTAGCTTATTATTTAATCATTTGATATTTTTGGTGTAGTATTCAGCAATAATTCATCATGACAGAAAGAATCAAATGGCAAAATTTCTCGCTGAATATGCTCACATAAGCAACATGATAGATGTTCATTAAGTATTTTCCTTTCACATTTTAAACCATCTTCGCCTTACAGAATTGGTTTAAATGTGCCTGAGACATTTTTCCTGTACATACGCATCAAAACACTCAAAAATGTCACTGCATCACATATGACATCACACAATATCACATGCGTGCTACACACCATCACCTTCTGCATTAAACAGACATGCAAAACACAGTCCAAAATCATAAATTGTTTCAATCATGACCGCACACACGTGCCCATAGGCCGCATATTAATGTACTTAAACACACAAGTATGCAATTAATGACGTACATAAACCCCAGAAGATTTCCGAAAGAGGAATTGATTAGTGCGTGCACTTAAGACTCATGTGAGTTGAGTCTCAATTGTACTCATGTAATAACAGGTGATGCTTAAACCAAAAATATTTACTAAAGTCAACCTGATCACTATTAGTGAGAATGCCCTGATTAACAGAGCTGCTAATTTGTGATATTATAAACTTTCTGCTCAATGTTATAAAATTAATTTATAGAAAGTTAGCACATCCGGTTTTTCTGGAAATTGTGTTGTTATTTAAAATGCTATCTTAGCCAATGGCAGGTTAAATGCAAGATCATTCTACCAACAAGTTTCAGAAGTACCATACTTAAAATAGTACCACACATTAAGAACATAAAACATGCAACAATGCAATACATTGGTTTGCATGACCCCACTACCTTTTAAGTCACTGTCAAACTGAGCTGACTCACTAAACATGCCACATGATATTATGATATAATGGATTTGCTGAGGAGCAACTCTTATCAGTGATTATCTTTCTATTGTTTCTCTTGACCCCACAAATTGAGCATTCCATTAAAAAAAAAACGAAGCCCACCTCCCAGATAGTGCAAGCTGGTCTATGTTGGTGGGGGGGAGACATGGACGCTGCGACCATGGTCTGGCAGAAGGTTGTTTGTGAGAAGAAGCCCATGCGTGGTGCTCTCACTTGCTGTGATGACTTCCTGTGGAAGTTGTGTGCCATAGCAGGGGAATTTCCCCTTACATTTTCCCTGCAGAGAACATTTCCATCGTGGTCTG